AGACAGACACACACACACACACACACAGACACAGACACAGACACACACACTCAGGTTTGTTTTTGTGAAAAGTGGGGACATCCCATAGGCGTAATAGTTTTTATACTGTAGACCGTATATTCTATTGTCCTACACCAACCCTACCCCTAAACCTACCCCTCACAGGAAACTTTGTGCTATTTCAGATTTTCAATACACTCCATTCTGTGTGATTTATAAGCGTTTTGAAAAGTGGGGACATGGGGTAATGTCCTGAAAAGTCACCTTCTCCTTGTAATACCTATGTCATACCCTTGTCATTATACAAATTTATGTCCTCATTTGTCACAAAAACGCGCACACACACACACACACACACACACTCACAGACACACACACACACACTCTCACACACTCTCTCACACACACTCACACAGTCCTGGTATATTGCGTTGAGTTGGTCCGTGGCTGCGTTTGGTGCGAGCGCACCTGAAGCTTTAGTGATACTCGCCCAAAAGTAAGCGCGACACATTTTCGAACACCAAAAATGTGATGCAGCACGCTGGAATGACTCGCACCAGGTTTGGGACCATGCCTTTGTAAAAGCCCTCGATCCCCTCGTTGCTAGAGAGAGCCAAACACAAACATACTGAGCTGATGTACAGTCAGATCAGTCACAGTATTCCTGGCAGTGCCTCTCCAATCTATATGAAGAGCTGCTAACAAAACATAGCTACAAATGGTTTAAGAGGAAAATATCTTTTAAAAATAAGGTATCATAAGGTTTAAGAATGGTTAAAAGAATGTTGTTATGCATAACATGAAAAATGCCAGGGTGATTCAACTGTCATGACATTATGATGAAGAAAAATAATTTAAATAAATGAAGAAGAATCTCGACAAGAAAACCTTTAAGTATTTTGGGATAATCATTAATTTTTATTTAGTTAAAAATATTTATTATTATTATTATTTATATTATTATATGTATTATTATTATTTTACCAAAAGCCCAACATTTTACCAAAAGCCAAATCAAGGTGAAATCAATCAATTTTTTTTTAAGTTTTAGTTTTAAAATGAAAAGATTTTTTTTAAACCATGTTAAATTATCATTAATTAACAGAGAATACATTTCTAAGAACGCATGTATTTTATACTAGATTTTTAAAGGTTTTTCTTGTAAATTTTTTGTTTCATCTTTGTTTTTTGTTTTTTTAAGTTTTAGTTTTAAAACGAAAAAACTAAATTCTAAACCATTTCAAATTATCATTAATTAACAAAGAATACATTTCTAAGAACACATCTATTTTAAACTAGATTTTTAAAGGTTTTTGTCGTAGATTTTCTTTATAATTTTTGTTTCATCTTTGTTTGTGATTTTTTTACGTTTTAGTTTTAAAATGAATTTTTTTTTTAAACCATGTTAAATTATCATTAATTAAAGAATACATTTCTAAGAAGAACGCATCTATTTTAAACTAGATTTTTAAAGGTTTTTCTCGTCGATTTTCTTTACCATTTTTGTTTCTTTATTATATATACTCTTATAAGTCACTGACTCCATTAATATTTAGTAATTATTATTGTTATTATTCATATTTATTCATTATTATTAATATTTACAAAGCAATATTAATTGAACATAAAAACAATGAGACATACACATTAGCATTCAAAAGTTTAGGGTTAGTATTTTTTGTAAGAAATTATTTGTTTTAAACAACAAAGATGCATTAACTTGATCAAAAATGACAGTAAAGACATTTATAATGTTACGAAAGAGTTCTATTTCAAACAAATGCTGTTCATTTGAAATTTAAATTATAATATGTCACAATATTACTGTATTTCTGATCAAATAAATGCAGCCTTAAGAGACTCTAACTGTCTGACTCAACACTTTTGAATGGTAGTGTATATCTACATTAAATACAACTTAAATACTAATCCAGTTAATTTAATTATGGTGAAATGAAAACAGCGATAAACTCAAAAAAAGAAAAAACAAATCATTCTAAAAAAGGACTTCTATAAATATTCTATCATTTTGATTCACGACTGATTCACTTTCATCACTGTTTTGTTTTAATCTCTGATCTCTGAATGCTCAGTGATGGAGACTGAAGAGCGTTTGACTCATACCTCCACATCCTCTGGATGACGTCCACGATGCCGCTGTAGTTGTTGTGCTGGTCCTGCAGGCGAGCGCGCACCACCTGGTACGGGTAGGTCACTGCTACAGCAAATATTTTGGAAATGGCTGCCATGGTGATGTATTCCAATGGAGACTGAAGCAGAGACAGACGGGACGGAGAGACTGACTCACAGAGATCACATAAACCGCTCTTTCTAAAGGTTACTATATACAGTCAAATGCCACATAATCGTAAGGCTCATTCTTGTCTGTGGTGCCTTTATGGTACCTCATAAAATGTTGAAAATAAATTTGGATGCGTTTATAGTTCAAGACACTGTCTGAGCGCAAGAGTTTTATTAGATACTATTATTCTACAAAGGTTTCCAGGTCCAGAAATGTCACTGAAATGAAAGGGATAGTACACCCAGAAATGAAAATAAGCCTGTGATTTACTCACCCTCAAGCCATCCTAGGTGTATATGACTTTCTTCTTTCAGACAAATATAATCGGAGTTAGTTCTATTAAAAAATATCCTGATCTATCTATCTATCTATATATATATCCATCCATCCATCCATCCGTCTGTCTTATCTATCAGTCTGTCCTCTGTCTGTCTTCTATCTATCTATCCATCCAATACTTACATATTTAGACTTAATAGGCTATTTATTTTCAAACTTTTTTTTTACATTTTAATCTGGACTACAACATGCCCTAGATATTGTTTGAAAGTGTTTTGATTTTTTATTGTTCGGTCACACTTTACATTAGGGCTTCATTAGTTAACATTAGTTAATTCATTAGTTAACATAAACTGCCAATTAAAAATTCTTCTGAACATTCATTAATCTTAGGTAATTATAATATTTAATAACACGTTGTTAAAATCGAAAGTTGCAACTGTGTTATTTAATGAGCTAACATGAACTAAGACTTGTATTTTTTAAACAGAGATTAATAACTTCTGTAGCAAATGTAGCTATTGCTCATTGTGAATGTTAATGCATTAACTAAGGTTAACTAATGAGGTCTTATTGTAAAGTGATACCTATTGTTCTTTATAGTTCTTTTGCACTTTAATCTGTGTAAAACTTTTAACTTTATACATTTTTCTGTATTGCTTTATTGCATTTAAATGTTCAGTTATTTTTGTTACAAGAAAAAAGTTATTAAACCTGTTATACTGTATTATGACAGCACTTTTTTTTTTTTTACTTAATTTCAATATCGTGATAATACCGTATACCATAATAAAAGCATTAGCAATTAATCGCAACATGAAAATTTGATACCGGCATATCCCTACAGGGGATACGTCGCTCTTTTAGGGGTATGAATCACGATATAAAAACATATATATAGACTCTGTGATTTTGTGGCTTGTGTTTTCGAAAATCGAATCTTTTTGTAATCTTGACAAAACACATATCGTTGGAAAGGTCTGACAGTCAAGGTTCTATATTTGGTAACTGTTTTGTAATAGAAGTGATATTGTGACAGAAAATGATTGATTTGTGACAGAAAACTGCATCAAAACAATTCAACACGAGTTTGGGTATAACCCAGTGGTTATTTTTGGTATAGTGCCCAAACAAAATCTCACAGGAGGCAGCCACAATTTTTGTGATATCAACTTCAAATTTGGAACATAAATTGGTTAAGACATATGGCTTTGATTTTATAGCAATTTTAGAGTGCAACATATTTTATAAAATATTTATTGTATATAAAAAAAAAAACTATTAGTATACTACATTATCTTTACTGTAAACTTAAACTTTTATAACTTTTTTATACTTCCTTTTTTTGAAATGCTTTCACGTCAGCAATAATCTTCTATGTGTCTTCTTTGAAAAGAGACCAACCTTAGGTCTGTATTCCAAAGAAAATAACTGTGATGTATACTGTGACTACAAATAAACAGAAACAGACGCGACTGAATAAGTATGTGTCCTCTTTCGTTTGTGAAATAACGGTAAATTACACTTTATTTCAATGTGACATTTTCAATCCTGACAAATTAATTCATTATGATCAATGCATCACTTATTAAAACATCCATGCTTTTGGATTTAAATCTTTAAGTAAACAACAAAAAATGCAAACAAACGGCCTCTCTTATCATGTTCGTTTTGTGATCGCGCTAGTTCCATTGATTTATTTCTGATTAGTTTTCTGATAACTTCTCTTTGTTGGTGAAATGCTGGGGTAGTGTGGTGTTGTTCCTGAGAGAAGTGTAAAGGGCTGGTTTTAGTGAAGCGCAGCGGAGCTTCTGGCCTGACGGTGGAAACAGCGTGATTTTGGGTCTGAGGCTATTAGTCCCACCCGGCCCGTTGAAAGCACTGGCTCAAACTGGCCGGACAGTGGAAAAGTGGCTATTTTTTGGGTGAAATATCCCTTTAATTAAAGGGTTAGTTCACCCAAAAATGAAAATTGGCTTGTGTTTTACATCACTTCCGTCATCTGTCATACGCGGAAGTCGTGCCGGCGGATGACGCAGTACGTCGGTGTTGCGTGATTAGTGCCGAACGCTGAGAGAAGACAAAACAAAACGCCGGTCACGAATTAGAAGTACAAACCGAAGATTTGCAAAGAAAAATGTTGGAGGATTTTGATATAAGTCAAGAGGAGACTGGTTTTCCTTTGCTAAAGTAAGGAAACTTTGCTTCCTTTGCTCCTGTAAACAAACTCGTGAGACTAGCATATCTCACAGGCGCGCGCTGCGCATACGTCATACACCTTCCGCCGGAACGCCTTTCATGTATGACAGATACCGGAAGTGAGAGAAAAGTGTTTATTACATTTGAAATATGGATATTTTTCTTACAAAAATGCATGGATTCACTACAGGAGGCCTTTATTCACCCCCCCGGAGCCGTGTGAAGCACATTTTATTATGAATGCGAGCGCTTTATTTGACGACTTGTGGACTGTTCAACTGCAACACCCGCTGACTGCAATGACAGAGCTTGGAATAGCCAGGACAATTTTTTATATAACTCCGACTGGATTCGTCTGAAAGAAGAAAGTCATATACACCTAGGATGCTTCGAGGTTGAGTAAAATACAAGCCAGTTTTCATTTTTGGGTGAACTATCCCTTTAAGATCTGAAAAAGACACGGAAATGTCTTTTATTTTTAAATTTTTATTTCCAGTTATATTGAAGGACTGGAAATGTGCAACCTTTACGGTGGACACACATTACACACCGAATGGTAAAATTTCTGTCATATGTCCCATTCCTGTCAAAATAAGCTGCAAAATGTACCATATGCATAGGAAAACTACACAATTTTAGTTGATATGAAAATCACAGTGCTGCATCTCATGCTACTGTACGTTCCTAGTGTGTGCTAAAAATGTAAGGCTGTTTTTATTTGCTCACCAGCAGCGATTCAGATGGCATCTTCTTGTATTTGTTCTGCTCTCTTTTTAGCCCCTCATAGGTCATGAACTGCAGTGCAGCATGGGAAGTCCCCACCAGTCCAGGCACGAAACCCTGCAGTGGCAGAACAACAAAATGAGGCTCACAAAACCACAATCACACAGTTACCTCAGACTAAAAGCAACGTCATCGTGTTCAACTAGACTAGACTAGAATTAAACTAGAAGGAAGTCTACTTCAATACGTAATCGTTTTAGGACAATCTGGCGTGACTCACAAAGAATTTAGCCTATACTGTATTTAGGCTTAACTGGAAGTACAGGTTAAGCTGGATCAATCCACTAAACATAATACAATCACACCCTCTTGTGGCCCTACAGAAAACTACAATGTTACAGAGCAAAAAGCTGGATCAGCCCACTATTTAAAGTCAACATGAAATGCAATTCATTTTACATCCATAATGTGACACATATCAGAGTATGATATGATATTCAATGAGAACAGGTTATTAAGTTATTACTAGTAAATTATTACACTAATTTAGAATAGAAGAAAAGTGCAATTCATTGTATTGAATGTGCACTTCTATTGTACTTCGTAATCGTTTTAGGACAATCTGGCGTGACTCACAAAGAATTTAGCCTATACTGTATTTAGGCTTAACTGGAAGCACAGGTTAAGCTGGATCAATCCTCTAAACATAATACAATCACACCCTCTTGTGGCCCTACAGAAAACTACAATGTTACAGAGCAAAAAGCTGGATCAGCCCACTATTTAAAGTCAACATGAAATGCAATTCATTTTACATCCATAATGTGACACATATCAGAGTATGATATGATATTCAATGAGAACAGGTTATTAAGTTATTACTAGTAAATTATTACACTAATTTAGAATAGAAGAAAAGTGCAATTCATTGTATTGAATGTGCACTTGTATTGTACTTCGAATCTTAAAAGTATATTTTTAAAAACTGTACTTGATGATAATATAATACTAATTAAATAAAAGGCCACTTAAGTGTACTTAAAGAGAGAGAACTTTCAGGACTATATTTCTAAACACACGTAAGTACATTTTTTAAAATGGACTATGAAATTATGTCAAATTACTTTAAAATACATTTTAAATCATATTTTAATAATCTTTTGTCATGTTTTATAAAGTACACATATTTTGATGTGTTGACCAACATACTAAAGCACATGTAAAGCACTTGATTATAATTTTAACTGTAGAGGGTTATTTGATATTACATTTAAAGTTAATATATTTTAGTATTAAATTCCAATGCCATCATTATTTATGTGTAGTTATAAATATATTTAAATAAACAACATGTAATATATAAATACACACTCATACAGTATATATTTAGAAAATATTTACATGTATATATTTATATTATACATAAATAAATTTAATATACAAACATTTTTCTTGAATATATACTGTATGAGTGTGTATTTATATATACACACAATAAATATACGCAGTACACACACACACATATATTATGTACACAAAAACGTGTATTTTGGATGCGATTAATCGCGATTAATCGTTTGGCAGCACTAGTAAAGACGTACTTACGTCCTGATTTATTGGGTTAAAAACAACTAATTGCATTTAATACATTACATCTTCATTTAATTGTAAATAACGTGCATTTAAGAAAACAATAAATGAAATTTGCACTTAAGTATTTTTTTTTATGATACTATTTTCAAAATAAGTACTCTTTTTTTAAGTATGCTGAAGTGCTTCTTTTTCACAAAGGGGAATTGTGTACCAAACGTGCGTTTCAGGAAGTAATTGGGACAAATGTTTAATTTCATGTTGACTTTAATCTTGAGATTAGCACTCATGAAAGCTCTATTACACCTGCAACAGATCTCGGGTTAGTTTAAAATCTGTAGATGTACCCTGTAGAGTCCCGGGATACCCTCGTGACGGTATATTTTCACGAGGGCGTCCATCATTCCCTTGTACTGCTTCCGTGAAGGGTCTGCATTGTACTGCAGCACCAGCCGGGTCTTTGTCACCCAGACCGGGTTGGTATGACTGCTGCACTCGCGTCATGCAAAGTTAAAACAGTTTAAACGTTTAGAAAACACGTTGCGAATTTCTGGAGGTTTATTCTCTTTTGTTTTTAAAAGCAATCTGTGTGAATGGCGCTTCGGCTCTTTGTATTAAGCAATGCATAAATACATGATGCTGTTTTGTTCATAATTGTTTATGCAAT